GGTGTCGTTGAATAGTTCCCTTTCGGGACAATTTCCGATCCCAGCAGGTGTTCCGCAAGGGAGTCTGCTGGGACCACTGCTTTACAGCATCTACACGTCGGACATCCCTCCTCTAGGAGACGGTTGCGTGTTCTTTCTGTTTGCAGATGACACCGCGATAGCCGTCAAGGGTAGGATGCCTCGTGAAATTACGAACAAGCTCCAACGATGCCTTGACACCTTTACTGATTATGCCACCACGTGGAAAATCAAAATCAACGCCTCGAAAACCCAAGCGATCATGTTCCTTCACAGACAATCATTAAAACTTAAACCGTCTCCCTCCTGTACCGTAATAATGGATGGTACAAGGGTCGAGTGGTCCACTGATGTTACTTATCTCGGGATGTTGTTCGATGAGAAGCTCCTGTTCCGCTCGCACATAGAGAAAACCCTAGTTAAGTGCTCCGCCTTGGTTAGGTGTTTGTATCCGCTCATTTGCCGCAGATCCCGCCTCTCAAGGCAAAACAAACTGGCTGTCTACAAACAGATCATAGCCCCCGCGATCTTCTATGCCGCCCCGGTGTGGGAATCGTGCGCTCAGACCCACAGGAACAAAATCCAGGTTGCACAGAATAGAGTGTTGAGGATGATCCTAGATCCATTCGACATAAGGATAGCAGACCTCCATCAAGAGGCAGAAATTCCCAAAGTAGATTCCAAAATTGATGATATGACAACTAAATTTATTCAAAAATGCAATCTTTCTGAACATGCTTTAATAAGCAATTTGTACATAGTAGGTTAAGTGTATATAGTAGAGTAGGTTAGTTTTAAGCTGTAAATAGTAGTATTAAGTAGTTTCTCTTCAAATTCTAAAAACAAAACAAACCAATCCCACCAAGGTGGTCGACCGTGTACTAAGTCTAGGACTAATTCTGTAAAACAAATTTTAAATTTTGCCCATACCTAAAGATGAAGAAAGCAATTAAATCACTTAGTAAAAATTTATATGGTAATCGTCCAAGTTAAACTAAAATAAAGATCATTTAAACTAACTAACTAATTGTCTATTTCGTGGTGGAGGAAGTTTCCTCTTCCAACACTACATTTTTGTATCCATGATGAATGGCTGTTCATGGCTATTCAATATGGAAATCTATACAATCAAATAAATAATCTAATCTATAGCATTTGCAAGTCATCCTATCCTTAAATTGTTGTCCTCAAAGCCCAGTATATTTTATAGCCAATTTTCAAATAAACATCATCCTTTATTTGGAGGACAGTCATATGGATGCTCATCAGTTGATAAAGAATTCAACCATAAGGAAATCATCCGAAATTCGACAGCATATTGTTAAAGGGCCCGAGCAATACAATAATCTGTCGAAGTATTGCGGGTGTTTTCGTTAAGTGATACTAATAGCGAATTTGTTTGTTTATCAGTGTGAGACCGAACTTTTTGTCAGTGCGAACTTCAACCTGCGATAGATTTTAAAAACAAACGATCAAACTGACGTTTGCCAGAAAACAAGCAGAGCCGATCCAGGTTGGAACTGAATAATAAACAAATTCGCTATAACTTTTCATTTTTTTTAACCAAGGCGCAATGGTCCCAAAGCCGTATTTAGCCGTATATTTACCGTCTGTTTTAATTATATAGTGTCTTCGGAAAAGTTTATTCATATTTTTTGGCCGATCTTTTTATCTTAGTGAAATTAGGGTTTTTCTTAAAATTGATGTATTGAAAATAAACCTGTTCTAAAAAGTTGTAGAACAATCAATTTGAGGGAACTTTGCTTGAGGGATATTTGACATCAAGGGTACCATAGAGGTAATTCTAAGACTAGTAGGCCCTGAAGAAACGTGCTCAACTTTTTGGCTCAGCTCTGGTACTATCTTCGGTCCCAAGCTAATCGATTCACCCCTCGAAACATAGGAAAATCCACTAACCCTTCATTTTATCTGTCAAACTTTCATAGCGAATCAAAACAAACATAGTGTAGTACTAGAATTTTGACTAGAATGGGGTACGTTAATCGATTTGCTTGGGCTAGTCAAGTAGTGAACCAATTTAAAATCGTTAGTTTCGTATTGATTGTTGGTAGTACCATTTCTATCACTTATGGTTCATGAGTTATGATTGTTTTAAACTAGCTGGTTAGGGGGGCCCCTTGCAAATCAGCTTTCTTTTAATATCTTTTTTATATCTAGATAGAGCTGGAATTAGAGCCTAACAGCTTTTGTAAACAATGACTTCTCTTGATGATTTCTAGAAATTTAAGGCTCGCCCACGCAAACCAACATCCTCATCGGGTAGGGAAATACTTCTCCTATCCGATTGTTAGGTTGGTTTGCGTGAACGTGCCTTGAATTCCTAGAAATCATTGATAGAAGTCATTGTTTACAAAAGCTGTTACGCTCTAATTCCAGCTCTATCTAGATATGTTCATTTCTCGTAAAAACTTTGTTCTAGGCACTTTTAGAACTTTTTATGACGCATATTTTTGCTGCAGCAACTAAGTTGTTATATTTTTTATTTAAAAAGTTACGGCTAGTTTTTGCTGATAATTATTACTTTTTTAAATAATATTATATGCCAAAAATAAAGAAAAAACCATCTTTCAAATGAAACTAAAAGTTATAAAATCGGTTTACTCTATTTAAAAATATGGATAATTGAAAAGAGCTATTTTTTCGAAGAAAATCGCCCTTAACTTTCTAATAAAAAAGAAAGCAATCTGGTTGTTGCAGCAAAAATATGCGGGATCAAAAGTTCTAAAACTCTCTACAACAACGTTTTTGTGAGAAATTAACGTTTGAAAAGATATTCATGAACTCATGAACCATAAGAAATAAAAATTTGGTGTCTTAAGCAAAGTTGCTTCGAATTGATTGTTCTAAAACTTTTTAAAACATTGCATTGGGCTATCTCAAATAATAAAAAGGTTTGTATTTTCAATTCACCAATTCTATGGACCACCCTAATTTCACTAACATAAAAATATTGACCAAAAAATATGAAGAAACTTTCCCCAAGACACTAAAAACCTAAAAGTGGTGGTTTGGACGCAAATATTTTTGTGATCTTAAAAACGACTTTGGGACCATTGTGCAAGGAGTGTGTCAATAGGAAAACCAGCTGTCCAGCTATTGAACTCTCAATTTTATCAAATATGTAAACTCAATTTCTTGATGTTCATGTATCTTTCCAAAAAAAAATAATGAAACTATCGAACTTTATAAATTCCCTGAGCATCCCGGAAATTCTTTGAAGTTCTGCACTTAACTGCTAACATAATGATCTCTCTGCGAGCATCTCTAAAATACTTTGAATTCCCCTGAACTTCTTGGCACTGCTCTAAAATAAATGGAACTGTCCTAAAAATTCTTTAAACTTTCCTAATGATCTCTGGGCTTTTTGAAGTTCACAAATTATCAATGAACGTTTCCTAAGTTCTCTGGAAATGTCTGTACTATTTTGAAAATCACGGAACTTTTTTAGAGCTCTACACATATTCTTGAAGTTCATGGAACTTATGCTTAAAATTTCCGCGAAAGTCTGGACCTTCCTACAGTTCTCGGAAGTTCCCTGAAGTTATTGGAACTACCCATAAGATCTTTGTAGTTTCCTAAAAATCTATAGACCTAGCTTCTCTAAGGTGTTTGGAATCCATGATTTCCTTTAAGTTCACTCTACATCTGTGGAGTTCTCTTGACTTCCCTGAAGTTCTCTGGATATTTCAAAAGCCCTCAGAACTTCTCAAAAGTTTCTGCAGTTTTTTTTTGGTCTGCCTTTGCTCAGTCGGTCAAGGCGCAGCTACAAAGCAAGACCATGCTGGAGGTGGCTGGGTTCGATTCCCGATCCAGTCTAGGATTTTTTCAGATTGGGAAATATCTCGATTTTCCTGGGCATAGAGTATGACTTTACTTGAAACATAATTATACTAATGCAAAAGTGGTACAGACATCGAAAGCTCTTAATTAATAGCTGTGAAAGTGCATCTAGAACACTTGAGTTATGAGCACGCAAACGATAGTTTTTCCGAAGCAAATGGATCCACCCTAAAGTTCTTTAAGCTCCCTGAAGTTTCCAAAATATTTTAGAATTTTTCGGAACTTCCCTTATGTTCTCGCAGTTTGTTTATAAACCGTCATTAAAATTATCAGCACTTCTTCAAAGTTTCAACAATTTTTTTGAAGTTAATGGGACTGCCCTGAAAGTCTCTAGTCTCTTTCTTGAAGTTCACGAAGCATCCCTGAAGTTCTCATTAATTGCATCCGACTTAATTGGGTTTACTTATGAAATAAAAAAATTTATATATAATTGAGAAAGTTCCTACTGACGGTACGGGCAAGTTTTAGTTTTATATAAGAATCATAAAAGCTCAATTTCCTACGGATACGTTGAATTAAGCGCATGGCTGCATGTGTTTGCAGTTTATCAAACATCTGTTAGTTTGTTAGAGTGAACGATTCAATGTCTTACTGTAGCGTTTGGCCGATTGTAATGAAGCGTATCTATCCTGTGAGTTGGCAAAATCAAAACAATCTTCTAAAGGGATTTCCTCCGATCCAAACTCCCACGTCACCTTAAACGGAAAACACAACCCAAAGCGCCCGGTCACCTTTGTAAATGTCGCTAAAGTCGTCCCAACGGGGTACTGATAAGAGACTAAATACCTGATTGCCGCCTGCCTGATGGCAAGGCCAAACGCCAAGCGGAGTATGCATGTCCTCGGGCTTTGCGGCCGAATCAATACACAAACCTGACCACGGATTCGCTACCTGGATGAGATTTTCCCCAGCAAGGAAAATGAGAAGAGAAAAGAAGCGTGAAGAAGAAAGAGAAAGAAGTAAGTACTTTTCGCTGTTCCAGACAGAGTAGGCTTTGCCGAATTGAAATTCAAAACAAAAGGCCTCCAGTAGGCACGGCGACGGCGGCGGTGATGACAGCTAACAGACTCCTGCGATTGTTCTCGCTTAAGCGCTAGGGAAGAAACGCTAATTTTATTTACTTGATTTCCGCCTTGATTATGGCAAGGATAGAGTCCCACTGGTTTGCGTAGATTCTTCTTGCCTCCAGGAGCATCCAAACACGTACGATTTCCGTATCCCATGTTTCTTACCTTGATTGTAGCATTAGTTTCAAGTTGTTTCAAAATGTAAAGAAAATGTATAAACGATAAATTTTAAGCAATAATTTACCTCTCCAGAAGCAACCGCCTCGCCAGGAATGAACAGTTCCGGGAAGATGTTATCCAGATACCATCGGAAGGATTTGCAGCCCAGGTTCTCTCGAAGTTGCTTCCTTTCGGACACGTCTCCGTAGTCTCCCTTGTCGTTGCCAATCCGCTGGTAGTAGTACTTGGCATACTCATCCAACCACACTTCCGCTAACCGTACCGAGTTCCGTTTGATCACATTGACTCCCGTTCGCCACTGAAATTTTACTCATATATCCAAATACTGAATGCTTCAGAAAAAACCTGTGACATCCTCACCTTATAAGGCGAACGTTTTCGGAATATATGACCCACGTGGGAGCACGGTACGATTTCCAGCGTACCTCCGCACATCCACGATTTGAAGGAAAGCTCCAAATTTTCTCCACCCCAAATGTCAAACCCAGAGTCGTACGTTCCGAGCCGTTCGAAGAACTCTTTGTCAATCGAAAATAGACCTCCCGCCATCGTTGGGGACCACACGGGTTCAGCAGTGCTCTGCAAATATATTAAAATTTGTAAAGAATTCCATACGGCAAAAACCTGTTTTCTACTATGCACCTTGTGCCGTTTCTTTTCCCGCTCGGGCACGGCATGCCAGTTGAACTGAAGATTCCAATCGAAGCCACCTACGTTGACACCGCCCGAGTCCCGGTAATGGTACTCCATCGTGTTGTCGTCGATCACGTCGATGACGGGGCAAACGACGGTCGTAGAATTCCTTGCGATTCGATCCAACAGCGGTTCCAACCAACCTAAAAATGTACGAAGAATACGATTGACCACCAAATCACAAGAAATAATTGCTCTTCCAAAATCTTACCAGTCGTGCACTCGCAGTGTGAATCCAAGTAGGTCAGCACAGGAGCCGTTGCGTAGCGAGCACCTAGCAACCGTGCACGAATCAATCCCTCTCGCTTTGGTGCCCTGATGATCTTCACCTTCGGGTACGCCTCGAAGTAGTCTTCCAGTTGTTTTTGTGTGTGTGCTGAAGTTACGAAAATTGATTACAACCTTTCCTGTCCAGCGATTACGCTAACGAACTTACGCATATCGGAAAAGTCATCCACCAGAATCACGTCCTTCACCAAATGTTCCGGCGAGCGATCGAGCACTGAGTGAACTGTTCGCAACAGCACCGACCAGGCCTCGTTGTGGAAGCAAATGATTACCGACGTGGCCGGCAGATCCGTCATGTACCGTCCCGGTTCCTTGCACCAGGCATCACGTGGATCCGGAAGACTTCGTCGAATCGAGATCAAATCAGCCGCATACTGATTGAACGCATTCTTGGCCCAACCGTCATCGACGGTTTTCTTCATCTCCGGTGACATATCCTTCGGCAAAACAACAGGTTTTCCCATGGCACCCGGTGAATCGGGACTATCCTCGTGCGGTGGGGCTATTACACCTTCAAATTCCTGGGCATTTTCGTTACGTTTTCTACTCTTGGGAGGAATCTTCTTTTTCGTTTCCATCGTCTTGTACGCGACATCCACTCCCCGATCAATATTGTTGTCTACATAGTCTACAACACCGCCTAAACCTTCTCCATCTTGAACTAAATCGTCCTTGTTAGCGTCTTCCCGGGCATTGATGATAAACTGACTAAATCTATCCCTGATGCCCTGCAGGGGCAACCTCCTTGGCACTTCAAACGCACTCTCTCCAGCTCCTCCTCCTGCACTGGGGCCACCCACTCTACTACTGCTTCCTCCGCTGCCATCATCGGTGTACAGCACGAACACTACCATGAACCAAACTACCGCCAACAGAGCGATAATCTTCAGGAACGACGATCTCCGCCTACCTATCAGTCCCATTTTGCTATTTTTGTAAGTATATCCTTGCTGCCAGTACGTCAAGTGACTAAAACTTAAATCCTAAAATATTGCTAAAATTAATCGCAGCTCCAATGCAATCCAAGAGGGCCGCGGCTTTGCTTGTCAGAATTCATGCGCAATCTCATGGAGCACTGCTCATTTTGATCGCTTCTTCAGTTCAACTCACGACGACCACGCAGCGACGGCGCTAATGATATGACCTAATCGTGTTGCATCGCAGTCATCCAGTCAGTCGGCGCTAGGCGGTTTGTTTTCTCATCTAATCAGCCGTGTGATATGTGCGTTGTTTCTTCAATTTCTGAAATTGAAAGTGAGAAAGAATGGAAATTACAATTAATTACGTGATCACCGTTACAAATTTAATTGTTTGATTCTGCTTTTGATGCCGGGCAAAAGATCATAATTCCCTTCGTTCGTTATCGCGCAATAATATCGCTGGTGCTCTTTCTCTTTCTCGGATTGCGCATTGGTATCTGTCGGAATGGCATCACAACGCCATCCAGCACGCCGACATATCCACAACAGCAGTAGGTAGTAGGCGAGCGATGGCTGTATCAAAGGAGGCGCAAAAGTCATCACAAATGATATATGTAGGTGCGAAAACAAGCAAGAAAATGTGGTTATAGCAGAAAACGGAAAATCTTTCATTACGTCTGTAGGGTGTTGTTTTCACACTTCACTACTTTGCGGACTGTTGCGCGTGGTAAGTGGCAAAGGTTGATTAATTTCTTGATTATAAGAAGGCGAGTTCGTCGCTGAGGGTGCTAACAGTCTTCTTTGAAAACTATGACGCATTAAATATATAAATTTTAAATTTGTGCTTAACGATGCCGAATTCTGAGTTGGTTGGAAATGCTAACATGAAGCTTTAGTGTGATAATTTATTAGCTAGAGAATGATCTTTTTAGAAGAGAGTAGGTGGATAGTTCCGTTAGAGTACGGCAGCATGAAAATTGAATAGAAGTTGAAAATGAGCGAAGGGCCATTAATGCGACAGTTTTTAAAGATAGACGCACATCTTTTGCCTAACCCGTACGATGTACGCGGAGACTTGAAGTATGTATCCAAGTCTACAGGCAAAAAATGTGCGTCCCTCTTTTGCTCATAAACTGACTGCGGCTGTGGAATAGTTCTAGCGACTTTTCATCACTACCTAAAGCCCCACGTTGCGAGAGCATTTCCAGTCGATGGTGTGTTATAATGCAATTCTTCTTTACCCAACTATTGTGTTGCGAATTCTGCCTTACTCGATCTCTCCCTAACTTGATGCAAATCCAGGAATTTTCCCACCACTTTTTCCATACAAATTTCCTAAATATCTCCCTAACTTAATATCCTCCCTATCTGGATGGTCCCTTCAATACAGTGAACTCTCTACAACTCGATATTGAAGGGACCATCGAGTTATAGAACATCAATCCCATAAGAAATCGTTATCACAGTAGCCATGAAAATATTTTTTGCTATGGTTCTATAACTCGATATCGAGCTAGTGGACATCGAGTTGTGGAGAGTTGACTATCAAGTTAGGGAGAGTTAACTGTAACATATTTTTTTTTATTAGGATGATATTTAGCCACTTCTGGGTTAGTTCATCACCAAAAACTGTTACATGTTATATAGCTATCTTGATGACATTTTTCTTGTCGATAATTATTAGCTTTGCAGTCTAAACAAGGCAATACTCCCAGTTTGATTAACACTGCAGGATGGCATGACATACCAAAATCGAGAAGTGCCGAGAAATAGTCGAAAATTACCGTGCAAAATACATTTCATATGAATGCCGTGGACTTGACTTATAATATTGAATAACGGCTTATAAATGTGTATGGACCTAACCACCTATATCGGTGCTTAAACATTCTATTAAAATGCCTTAAAACTTGCACAACAGACCCAATGATCCCCAAGTCTTATGCAGATATTTTACATTTTATATTACCTTTGAATGTTTCACGAATCAACTTATTACCCAGCAATCAATTTGAAGCTTAACAAGTGTTCTTTCAACGATTTTAATTCAGTCTTAGTTTGAATAATTGTTGCACTTAATTTTGTGTCGAAGATGGATTCAGACACGTACCTAATTATTTACTTCAAAGTGTGTAATATATGTCTGATGTGGTTCTGCAAAGTCCATACTCTCCCCGATAAAACGCTACAAAAGGTTTTATCTAAGTTCACATTGATTGAATTTTATAGTACGCTACTCTTAAAGCTTTGCAAACTACTAATCTAAGGATAGTGATTTATTAGTAATACAGCTAATCATAAGCCATACCACGAAACAAATCATCCCATCCATGCAAGTTATCCAATAATTTGCGGCTACAATAGCTTAAGTAACCTCCTCACCCTACAGAGACCCTATCATCATCCATTCAATATTATTTCCAGCATTGAAAGTGAATGCAATCATCCATTCAATGGTACCTGCCTTTTGATAATAATTTCGAACCTCCAATGAAGCAAACCAACCCCGAGGAACGTCCACTCCACCCCAAAGGCACCTAATAACCTACAAAGAGAACCCCCGTTCCCCTCTCGAATCTCATTTGTTATCTATTGAATGGGTGTGTTGAAACAAAGAGACGATAGATGACTGCCTACATAGCCTACTGCCGTCCGTAGCGTCGTCGCCAGGCGCAGCTTACTGAGTTACCGACTGTGCCTGTGATCTTCATAATAATGTTGTAACTTCTTTGGCGTGGGAAAAGTTTGTCGCGTGCACGTGGATCGGGTTGCTATGATGGTATGCAGTAATAGCAGTAGCAACGAGAAAGCACTGCAAAAGGCGTCGAAGGGAAAAGTGTCAGTGGGTAATGCGAATGAAATCGAAAGGAGGAAGAACGGCCAGACTGCAGCAGAAAAAGAAACACGGGAGGGAAAACATAAGATGATGAGATAGTATAACAATTAGTCTTGCTATAGCTACCACGAAGGCGGTAGGTGTGTATGAAGGCCTATCTTTTGTCTTCGCTGTGCTAAACTGGGTAGCATTTTTACGCTCATTGCACGGATTGATGAGCGGCTTCTGTGGGTGAGAAGTATCATCTTCCGACAAATGTTGAATTATTATGGCACTGTTCGCTGACACAATGTAATTATTCAATAAGCAAGCGATTATGTCGAATTGTGACGCGATGAAATTAAGCCGGAAATGTGAGCCAATGCTCAGTTCGGCGCCCGCCACTACCTACTAGGTCAAAGGAAATCGTGGATTGCGTGTTCAACATTGACATTGAACTGGTAAATGGCTATGGTAGTTAGCCGAGTTTTCCATCCACTCATTGGATGCTGATCACCGATCGATAATTTAAAGATATATACAGTACGGGACAAAATTATATAGTATCGTAATTTTTGCAACTCTCTGAAAAAGTTTCAGGATGTGCGATTTCTCAAAGTTTGGCTGCTAGTTGAACAACTATTCATGGTTTATTTGATTTTGGTATAGCTTGGGCTTGATTGGATGTGTCTACAAAAAGTTTGAGCAAGTCTAGTAAAATGCTTCTTATTTAACTGCCCTTTTTCAAACTGTTACAATGATTCCCCAATTATGATAGCCCCTTCATAAATTTTAGGCTGAAACTGACAAAATCGGGGAATAAAATTCCCGTTGTTTTATTTTCGATCATAATTATTACAGAATAATGAAATTTTATAAAGCATAGCCCACTTAGTAATGGAACAACATCGTTTGGGTCTATTTTGGATTTGAATTAACGGATTTCAAAACGATTTTCACTCAACTGCATACTATTCCTTATATTTTAAGAACAAAATACGAAACGAACTATTCGTCGCGGTTTCGAAGAAATTCTCGAACTTTTCCCTTAATACGACTCATCAAGCGGTGCACAACGGTCTCCTCCACAGTTTTATCCCGCCCATTTTTATATGAGCTGCCGTTTTGATGACTGTACCTTTTACCTTCGATTTCCTCTTCAAAATTGCCCAGTAGTTTACAATGGGCCTGAGCTGGGGACAGTTGGGCGGATTGAGGATTTTGGAACAAATTGACTCCGCGTTGCCATTGTACCATTGTTGTATTTCCCGGCTGTAGTGACAACTCACAAGATCCGGCCAAAATTTCAGGAGACATTCGGTTTAGTCTTCTGGCCGCAGCTGTAAATTCACTGCCAAATCATATATTTGCGTGAATTTATCCACAAAACTAATTTAAATCTGCCAGGGAAAACTCCTCGAGCCTTCGTCTTGTAAAATTTTGGTCCGAAGTCGGCCTTTACATAGGTCATCCATAAGTAGGACTTGGTCAGCAAGTTGCCATACAGCATTTCGAGCACGGGTTCTAGCCTACGTGTGTCATCATACTTTTTACTCAAATCACGATCGGAAATACCTGGGTTCCTTCTGATGGTCCTCACGACCTTTCCATGGAGCTGACGGTTGGCAGTTCCACTCCTGCGTTTACTTTGAAGCTTCCGAGTCGTCGTCAAGGTTTCCCTGTACCTTTTGAGCACGCGTTATACAATGTTTCAGGAAAATTCAACACTTTAGCCAGCTTGGACGTGGACCACGATGGATTTTCCAGATGACTGTGCATGATTTTTTTTCTACGCTCCTCTTGCATGGTGACTATCTTCAAAACAAGAGCGTTTTATGAACTGAAAATACACTGTTATTGTTATTGTTGTCAACAAATAGACGTCAAAAGCTTCTGAAATCGTCCACTAGAAGCGCTGTAATCAGTAAAAGAGTTTGATCCATTACTAAGTGGACCATGGTTTAGATAATTGCGGAACTGCAAGTAAATTCGTTCGGATGTTCAGTAAATTTCATTAAAGTTCAGGAAACTTTCTTAAAGTGCTGTACATTCCGAAGAAGTTCTGGAAACATAGTAAAAGCACAGACAAACAGACATAACTCTCGCAAGTTGTTCATCGAACAATCATTTAACGGACAATTTAAAAGTATCGTAGTTAGTAGTACCACCACCTGTGGCGCGCATAGTCAATTCCCTTGCGTTTGACGTTTACACACTACCGCCATCTGTTCAGTGTAGTGCCCACCACAGTGTACTCAACAGATGGCGGTAATGTTTTAGCAACGATGTTTTACAGTAAGAAATATTAATGTGTTATGTCTGTTTGTCTGTGGTAAAAGTATATTGAACATTAAAATTTCAATTGAATTTGTAAAACTTCAGCGTAGAAGTGCTGAGAACTGCTCAGTGCATTTTGTAAAAGTTCAGTAAATTTTGTAAAAGTTCTGTAAATTTTGTAAAAGTTAAAGGATCTTTGTAAAGCTCCATAAGACTTTGTTGTAAAATAG